GTTGGTATAGAAGTTGAGATCCAGGATTCTATCTCTGGATCATAGTAATCTAATTATGTCTCATGCCTCTGTCGCATGAGGTTAAGAATTTCGTTGATATACTTAAATAAAAAATAACATTAAAGAGTAAAGAAGAGTAGTCATTGAAAAGATAAAAGAAACATGTCATTATAAATTGAAGGATTACCCTGTCTTCCCACCAAACTTTTATGCTTGTCATGTTCCTGAAATCTTGTCCTGTAAAAACATGCATGCCGTATTCTATTTGAATATCCTTTGTACTTGTCAGAATCAACACTTTGGTTCTTTCTGCTACAGTCGCACGCCTATAAATATTCAACTTTTTATACTCCTTCACTTCCTCTATTACGGCCCTTGACAATTCTATAAACATCTTCTTCTTCATATATCCTTGGCAAATAATTCTTTCCTCCTCTTGGCCTGTGGAGTATATGGATGCCGAACATTCTTTGATAAAATGCCCTTGACCCTCCTCTTGCTTTAAATTCACTGACAGCTTGACTCAATGTTTGAAGATACATCATAGAATCTTCATCATGTTTCTTTCACTTCTCACAGAGAAAGCCACAACATCTTCTACAAGAGGTAGCCCCTTGGTCTTGTCCAGCACTAACACCAACACCAACATCAAAACGAACAGCAACACCAGCACCAACACCAATACTAGCACCAGCACCAGTACTAACACCATAAAAACAACTACTTCATTAACAACTATATCTTATCTCTTTTGATGGTTGTTACTCCAGCCAACTACATTTTAACTCTATCCACAACAAGATCAAAAATAGTTTCAATCAACCCTAGAGTAATTAGATATGACATTTGCAATTCCTTATCTGTTGGGGCATCCATGGATGCACAACCTAAAATTATAAAAATAAGTCATCAATAAGAACATTTGGGTCATATGTTGCCACAGAAATGTCATTTGTTGCTACAGATGGGTGGTATGTTGCCACATATGTGTCACATGTTGCCATATATGTATCACATGTTACCACAAATGAATCATCTGTAGCAATATTTGTGTCACTTGTTGCCACAAATAAATCGTTTGTAGCAATATTTGTGTCACATGTTGCAACAGACGAATCATCTGTAGCAATATTTGTGTCACATATCGCAACAAATGAATCATCTGTAGCAATATAAGAGTCATATGTAGCAACATAAAAGTGTAATATACTAATAATAACTTACTGCATCAAGGGGAGGGTTAAAATGATCTGGAGTATGCCCATCTTTGGTAGTTTTTGTTCTTGATCTTAACCATCTCAATATCCTTGGAGATGATTTTTGTTCTTCTGTAATTACTTGATGGGTCAAATAAGGAATGATTCAAATGCCCAAGCCTGTAAAAAAAAGGAAAATATGTCACTAATCAAATGTTCAATTGCTTAATATAATGTAAAAATATTAAGAACATTTAGTTTTACCATGAAAACCCATGGAAAGCCAAATAAGTTACTGGTCTTTTCTCCTAAAGGTTTCAATAAATATTTGAGAGTTAATTCAAATATCTCATGATCTTAATGGGTAGTTGTTGAAAGCCTCAATATCCTGACAGAAATTCACCCATTTAAATTGTATGTTGTTGTTGAGATCCCTCGGCAAAAGTATATTATGTGTAAACCAAAGTAAACACAATGATTCCTTATGCTTCCTTGGTGTATCCTCGTGTTCAAAAAATTTTTACTAAGTCAGGATTTTTTTTTCCCAACAAGGGACATCAAGTCCTACTCCTCAGTTGGCAGTGATTGTTGTCCTGCTTCTACTACTTCTTTTACTCCTTTATTTCTTCTTTGTGGTTCTTTTTTGACAATGTATTCAGGCACGGCTCAAGAGGAGGATAACATTTTTACCCTGTAACTATGACAAACTCTCGTTTGCTAAAGAAAACTGGCATTTATTACAATCTCATCCTCTTTTTGTGATTTTAAAAAATGAACCTTCTTTTTAGAAGTTCATACACAATGGTCATTTGAAAACGTGGAGTTGTATCGATGGGTAAATCAAGAAAATGACTGAAATAACTATTTCTGAAATTTTTTCCAAATGATTTCTCTTAAGGATATCCCTGAATTTGATGAAAGGTTTTGTCAGGACTGACCTAATAATGCTATCACCATTAGCATTAGGCTGCAGAAGCACAGGGAAAGTGTCTGTATTGATGATTTTAGTCTCATCATCACCAGTAGCATTGAAAACTTCATAAGTTCTTGTTCTTCTTCAACTTTATTTATTTTTTCTTCTTGTGCCTCATCTAGTTCTCTATTAACTACTTCTATATTTTTCCCTTGTTATTCCTCGACTTCATTTATTTTTTCTTCTTGTGGCTCAACTACTTCTCTATTAACTACTTCTATATCTTTCCCTTGTTCTCCCTCAACTTCTTTTTGTTTTTCCTCTTCTTCCTCCACTATTTCTCTTTCTTCATATTCTTTTTGAGAAATTTCTAGTTCTACTTGAGAAGAAGAAACTGCTTCAGATGCAAGATCTTCTAAAAGAGTGGCATTTTCATTTCTCTTCCTAGAAATTTTAGACCTAGTCTTCTTCTGGATCTTTGTTGTGCCAGATATATCATATTTTCTTTTGATAGGAGTCATTATATTTATATCTGTAACCACAAAAATAAAATATTTGAGTGTCACACATAAGCTACAAATAAAGCTTTTTGAAATACACAACACAATATACAACCGACAAACAAACAAACCACAAAATCCTCCATAAATAATATATAACGTACTACAATGAAGTTTTTTGAAATCAAAAAGTATTTCAAAAAATAACAATTACAGAACCAACCAAAAAAGTGATAAAAAACCACTCAAAGCAAAAAAAATAAGTAAGCATATAAGCACATGCATTTCAAACCCTAATTAAATATTACTTGAGAAGATATATAAACAATAAACTAGAAATGATGAGGACAACAACGACTTGTTGTAGAAGAGGATCGCAACAGATTACCACTAATGTTTTAGAAAACATCGCAAGAATAATGATTTGTGAAGGAATGAATACTGGAACAATAGATTAGAAAACTAAAATTAGTATAAATAAATAAAATTTGAAATATGAAATGAATTCAATAGAAAAGAGGAGAGAGGAGAGAGAATGAAAATGAAAACTAAAGTTGTTTTAATTTTTTTTGAATTATGAAAATACAAACTCTGGCATATATTGCCACATTTATACTTTCTGTTGGCCACATATGTTATATATATAATATAATGTTGCCACATATTTCATTTCTATGACATATCTTACCACATATCTCTTTTCTGTGTTATATGTTGCCACATGACCCCTTTCTGTTGGTACACATGCATACTATTTAGTGAACAACAAGAAGAAATACTAATAATAGTTGAACGACTTTACTTACTTTTTTGCATGATGCTTGTAAAGGCTCTCGTTTAGTTATTGCGAGAAGGATGACATTAGTTCAGTTGGACCCTCACTGTCAATGTTAAAATCTTCAAATGGATTTTGTCGCTTCACATCACAACTCACAACTTCGACTTTCTTCCCTTTCTTTTTCGCTTTCGTTTTTTCTTTCTGCTTCACTTTCTCCTTCTCCTTCTCCTTTGCATTCTTCTTCTTCTCCATCTCCTTCTCCTCTTTTGCCTTCTTCACCTTCTCCTTCTCCTTCTCCTCCTTTGTCTTCTCCTCCTTCTCCTTCTCTTTCTTTACCTTCTTCTTTTTCTCCTCATTTGCCTTCTTCTCATTTTCTTTCTTCTCACTAATTATAGAAAGTGTTTGGGAAATATATTTTTTCAACCTCTTACACTTCAAAGGCTGTAAAATTTTCTGGATCTCTGTAAATCAATATTATGAGACATTTCCTTAAATATATTAGTGAATTTTTTAACACAACTAATAAAATAATCATGTTGCTGCTCACATTATTTGCATAGACAAAAAAAGCATTTGATGTTAGATCATGAAACAACACCAATAAAAGATTGACTTGTTGTCATGGATGAAGCTTCTTGTATCATTTCATCTACAAGGTAAACAAAAAAAGATTGAGATTTTACAATTCATTATAAAATAATAATAACAGTATGTTGCCACAGATGGATAGTCTGTTGCCATAAATTAACATTATGTTGCCACATATGTACCTAGTGTTACAACATATAAAATTTCTGTTGCCACATATGTTGCAACAGATGAGTCATATGTTGACACAAATATACCTATTGTTGCCACAAATGAATTTTTGTTGCCACAGATGAATTCTAAGTTGCCACATATGAATCTTATATTGTCACACATGACCATTTTGTTGGCCTAAAGTGAGATGTTACAAAATATGATGACTGTTGGAATATGCACCAACATATTACTAAAATGTGGCAATATACCAAACATCTTTCAACAAATGAAATAATGTCGGACTATTGAACAAGACTATATTTTTAAAAATCATATCAACAAAATGGCCACAAAAAGAACAACAAAAGCAATAAAAAACGACTTTTCACTGAATGTTGGCAATACATATGCATTTCTTCAAAGTGAGGATTTTTTGAGTTGGTTGATTTTCTTTAAAAAATAATAAATAATAGACACCATTAAGTCGTTTATTCAATTTTTACATCTATAAAACGTTTTATTGTTCATTAATCCAAAAAAAAACTTCAAAAATTGTAAAATATTTCAAAAAATAACTTATCCATTTTTCGTCGAACATGATTTCAATTCAGAATGATAAGAGAGTAATGACGGGAGAGAAGGAAAAAAATAATGGAGATAAAGATAGTCAGTCGGAAAAAAAGATAATGAAGGAGAGAGACGACTTTTCGAATTTCTAAAGAAAAATAAGAACAATCCTAAAAGAGGAGAGAGGAAGAAGAAAATGAAAAGATTTTGGATTGAATTATAAAAATATGCTTTTTTATATTTTATAAAAAATTAAAATTTTTTAAAAATGTTAATTTGATTCCATATTTACTTAATTTTAAAGAGATTTGAGCTGTTGGTACCAAAAACAAAACAAGACTTAACACCTCTCCCTTAAATTTCTCGAGTTCGATAGAATTCAAGGATTGAATTGATAAAACAATTTTACATTTGGCGTAAATTGAATTGAAAAGCATAATTATCCGCCGGAAGGCGGTGGATCTGAAGGTGAGAAGTAAACGGGAAGAAGGAAGATGGAGAACGAGAATAGAGTGGAGAAGAATAATGGCAACGAGATAAAGAGTTTGCTAGCGTTGAAATCCATATTCTCTTTCAACGGAAAAAAGCGAAACGGTGACAGTGAAGGTGGCAATGATGCACCGGCTTACAACCCTTTACCTTTTCTATCTTCACTCGCTAATTCTGTTGTCTCTCGTTCTTGCAAGTAAATTTCTTTTCATTCCATCTTTAAATATTACTATTATTTTGGTGTCTTATTGTCACTGCACTTGTTGAATGACTGGAGATTAAGGAGAGGAAGTTGAGGAGGTTCATATCCATATAATGCTTGCTTGAATAGGAGTGCTTGGGTTTAGACAATACCATGGCTCTCAAGTACCCTTGAACACATCTATTCAATAGGTTGATTGGACACGGTTGAGACTTGAGTCACTGATTCCTCGAGTAAATGTTCGACTAGTGAACACCTTATCCTTGTCTGATACCAGAGTGTAGAAAATTCATGTAAGTTTTAATCTCCCCGAGCAATAACTCAGCTACTTGCACAGCTGTAAATGGAAAGGAAGTGCCTATACTTGTAAATTTATTAATAACCACTAATATGACATCTCCATCTTGTGACTTGGGTAAACCTTCTACGAGCTTGTGAATGAAGTTTTAGAGGTCTGCCACAATTTCTATTTGCTTCTTTTGTTCATCTTTTTTCATGGCTGGCTTATAAAATAGACGTGTAATCTCTTCAAAACTGTCCTCCAAGGGCGTATGTTTGCAGGGTCTATAATTTGTTACCTTCTGCTGGGGTTTTCCCTATGTATATCTTGCCCTTATATCTCAAAACTCCTTGTGACCAGATATACTGAGAATTGGCTCCTTAGTTGACTAAAACTGCTGCTATAATACTTCCAACCTTATCATTCCCTTCATAAATCTTTTCCACCTCCTATACATGTAGGAGAACACCATAGATTGCATAAGTTTCTCCTTGGTCCTTGGGTGTCCTGAATAGTGCATCAGCCACCCTATTTTCAGAACCATTCCCATATTGGATTTCATAATTTTGACCAATTAATTTAGTTGGTCTTTTTGCTGAATGACTGTAGTTACCTTCTGCTCAAGTATTTAAAACTGAAATGGTCACTCTTAATGATGAAATGTCTGCCTTGAATGTACTCAATGTAGTGCTTCCATCTGTCTATGGCTGCTATTATTTCCAGTTGTTCCTTCTCATACATTGGCTCCTACATGTCTTGGAGCTAGGGGCTTGCTGTAGTAAGCAGTAGTCTGTTTTCTTCAGTTAGTACTGTTCCAATTCTCTGGTGGCTAGCATTAGGTGAGCTAACAAAACCTGGCTTTTCCTCAGTATCTTTACCATTGGTTTAGCTGTGATCTGATTTAGCATTTCCATTCCTGTATCTCCATTATGCTCCACCAATTTCCCTAAATGTTTGACTATGATCTTATAGTTATCATAACTGCACAGTGTCTTCTGACCCCTCCAAGAACCACATGACAACCTTCATTTTCAGCAGTCTAAATTCTTCAAGGGACTCTATCCTTTTTGCATTCTACTATGACATTTGCACGACTTTGATGACCTAACATTTGATTTCCATCGGCTACTGTTACTCTCAAGGGAATCTTCTCTAATTATTCAGTCACAAGCTCCTTCACAGTTTGGTAGTATAGGGTGTTGTAATAGCTTCCTCAATCCTCAAAACCTTGAGTGATAAGACTAAGGTTAGTTGAAAAAAAAAGAAAAAAATAACGTGCATCCTTTTGTTCAGCCTCATAATCTTCATAACTACTTGGAGCACAATTAAAAATATGGTAATCTTCATATGTTCTTAAATTCTTAAATCCTTTACTAGTGTCCTTGACTGAAGTAATTATCCCCTTGTGCAGCCACTTGTTTTTTCTCATCCACAACGATCATTACCTTCTCCTATTCTTTGCCACTGCTTGTGATAAAATGAAGTTTCTATATCTGAGTTCTTCCTTGAGACGACGAGCAAAACATGTTAAAAGGAAATCTTCTGAAATGGTTGAGTTTCTCATAAGAAGTGATTTGGCATACATTGATATATAACTTTCACCTTCTCAGTCACATTCGAGGTTCGCTACCATCAAACATTGGAAACAGAAAATTAGGTGAATGCTACCTTTGAAACCCATCGTATTAACTCCTCCAGGATGTGAGATCCTAGGCCATAGAAGTTTGTCATCACCCCTGCTGGTTCACTCATTCTTTATGGATGCCTTCCCACCAGAGTGGCCAATCATCATACTTAGATGTTCAAACATTCGTATAGTTGAGTTTGGAACTTCTCCATTTGTTTGGCTTTATTGGATAGCTTAGAGTTCAATATTCATTGTTCTTATGTGTCCCTTTGAATCTCGCTCGTGTTTCACCCATGACTGCTTGCATCTTCCTATCTAGCTGCCGATAGTTCTCATCCGCCTGTTTGGTTCTCGTTGATTCTGCTCCAGTCATTTCCGCCACTAGTCAAGTTCAGGTTGGTCGCGCACATACTGAAAGTATTGGGCTTATCAAATTGAGCTCCAGATGTTTTAGGTTCCTTTTAAATATTGCTATAGGATTAAAGATCTTCCTGCGACTCTCGAAAATTGTAAGTAGGGACCTGTAATTTGTTATAGCAGGTTCTGGTTTTTGTTTTGGAACAGAATACAAGTTGTTACCTCCTCAAAAAAAAATTGAGTTCTAAATTTATCAACTCGGCTGGATTTATCAATCAAATTGGAAATTACTGGAGGATTGAAATGCACCACAATATAGTCTCACAATTCACAGCTGAAACCAGTTCAAAACAATGTCTTGCCGATGAAACTAGAAAGGGCCATAGTCTCTGAAATTGTGCATATCCATGACCAGCATAGTTGTTGTTATCTGAAGAACATAATTTGGTAGGAAAGATGAAAAAACAATGAGAAAAAATGTAGAGGAAAAGAGAAGAACCAGATAGAGAGAAGTCCATTGGAAAGGAACGAAAGTAGCCAGATTTGACACACCACATACCTTTGCAGGAAAATCCTAGCCGTCCACTTCATTTATTTAACCAGTGTTTGGATTTTGTATTACTGTTAAAACTAAAACTGAATACCCTCTAAATGACATCACTTCATTATTTATGTCCCTCCTTTTCTCTTTTCTAAACCAGGTCATTACTGAGAGTGAGAGTGATGAAAACTTTTTGTCTCCTCCAGAATTCATACGAAGTTCAGTTAGTCTTTAGGTACTATCTTGTGCCTCAATCAAACCTATGAAGAATAAATTTTACATTTTGTTGATTGGAAGGAATCTTATATGCTGGAAATATTTTCTTGCATATTGTCCTCTGGTTACTTATATAGACTCTTGCAATTTGAGGGAGGGATTTGACCCTAATTATTTGCACCTTATTCGATATGCCAAAGAAAATTTGAAATTGACGTACTTTGGATTAGACATGCAAACCCAAACAAATTTAATTTCAACCTTGTCTTGGGTTCATTTCAATGAAACTTGAAAACATGTCATTTGAATTTACTTGAGGATAGCTGGCACGGGATTAAAATGCCTATATGCAAGCATGTTAGATATCTAAGCTCAATGTTTTTAGAGAATGAATGATAGATGAAGATGTAACACAGAGAATTAAAATATGATGATTGAACTAGATGAGTGCTATGGGAATGTTGTATGATACAACGGTACATACCAAGTGAATGGAAAGAAAACACAATAATATTGTATGATACAACGGTACATACCAAGTGAATGGAAAGAATATACAATGGTTGCTAGGCTAACCATGTTATAAGAGAGTGATTATTGAGATTTTAAGGCCCAACATATCTACAAGGTGAGTTCCTACGGAAGAAAAATGCTACGATGGATGATAGATCTGTGGTTATACAAGGTTAATTAATATCAGAACATATCACATCCACTAGAAGGCAAGTAGCACACGTAGAGGGTGAAGTGATAGAAGACAATTGAGATAATTTCATCATGTCTTATGTTAATTGAAGATGTTGATAAAAGACAGGTATATCTAAATCATATGAAAGGAAGTTGTGTCAAAAAAACCTAAAATCTCTCACAGTACATACAAACTTTTCTTTTTTGATGACAAGGAAAACCCGCATCCGTTACCCTTTGGGTGCGCACACGGTAAAACCCCCGCTCCTATGCAATAGCTCGTAAACCACATAGGAGAGGTAAACTCGCACTAGGCAAGCTCGATGCGACGAGCTCGACCCAGAAGGCAAACCCTTTGCTTTCGCTAGCAAGGGATTTCGAACTTGAAACCTCCAACAGGGAAGTCCCAAACCCTAACCATTGGGCCACCCCGAAGGGTTCACAGTACATGCGAACTTAGAGAAAAGTAAAACACAATGTATGTAAAGGATCTACACATGCAACCCCCACAAGATGGATTAAGTCTTAATGAGATGAGGTTCAATGTTTGTTAGGATTTTTCTTTAATATGCCTGGGGTGTCCATAGAAATTATGTAGAATTGCTAGTGTTAAAGAACCTCATGTAACTGATTATAGGTATGAAATAGATACAACAAGAAATGATCTAACCAATTCTCAAAATTAAAAATAGATACAACAAGAAATGGATTGAGAATTCATGTAGCAGTCACCAATCTCAAGTAGATTAAAATGAGGTGGTATTTTTTTCTCGTTTCTAATATCTGAATGATGTATGAAAAATCTCTGGTTTTTGGTCAGCTAGCTGTGCTTTGTGGTTTAAATGATCAAACATACTATTATATAAGGACATTATTCATTAATGATGTTTGTCTGTAACGTGATCTCATTGTTATTGAAATTTAAGATCATCCTTAACCTATAGGATGCTAGAGAACATCTGCCTCTTAATCTTCTTTCTTGATGATTGATTAGAGTTGGCGATTTTTCTTGGTTTCATGTTCTCTATGTCACTTTCTAGGGTCCTCATGTCTCTTGAATAGTGTCAACTGTACTGGATAGTGAGATAAATGTTTTGTATCCACATTTTATCTATTACTTCTATCTTGCAAATTTGTTTGGTAATATGCTGTCTTCTTTCAAAGGAAGTTCTTTTTAATAAATCTTAGAATTTAAATTAGTAATCTTCTAGACCTTAACCATTTTATCTTATCATAAATATACATATACCAATTTTATCTTCTTGTGTCATACAATTTTTTTTTGCTAAGAAGTTTGGTGCGTGTAGATCTTAGAGATCTACATTCAACTCTAAAGTTGGATGTAATTTTGTATAGCAACCAAGCAGTGTGAGCGAGATACCAAACAGTATCTTACCTACAAGCAAAACGAGAAATCTGTCATTGTCCTTCCCTTGGAGCTTAGATATTAATGTAGAAAACTTGAGCACTCGAAGAATTGACAATTTAAGGTGTTTGACAATTTAAGGTGTTGTAGTGCCTTCTTTTCTTAAAAGGTGTTGGCTAAAAGACATAAAATTCCTGTCTACTAACTTCAGCAGATTTGTTCAATTACTAAGAAGGTATAGCTGGTCCTTCTAATATAAAAGTGTCCAGATCCTCTTTGTTATCTACCTTCTGCTGGGAGAGAGCATGCTTGGTGCATGTTTTCTGCAGTACTCTTATATCTGTGGCTACCATTTACTATAAGTTTTAGTAAAGCCAGAGATGGATAGGAAATAACATTTTTTTTTCCATCAGTTAGGACAATAACTTTTCCACTAAAGCATTTGTTTCGCAAGGTTAGTATCTACTAACCTTTCGATTCAAGGCCACAACATAATTCGATCAATCTCTGTCTGTACTCTTCTGGATTGTGTGTTGATAATTATTATATTGGTATATAATTTTATTACTATACCAGTATACCAACACTAAGGTAGTGCTTTCAGAATTACATTAAGGGTCTGTTTGGAAAGCCACCAGGTGATTGAAATTGGTGGTATTACTAGGGTAATAATTACCAGCCTAGTAATTACACAACTCCATAATTACTTTGACATATTAGTTTGGCAGATGGTAATGGTAATTACAAGTGTCCTATTTGGTCGCACAGGTGTAATCATAAGGTTATATTGAATCTTAAAAATAAAAATTAATTATCTAAAATTAATTTTTTTTTGACAAATACGAGACCTTATAAATGATATTGAATTAATGATTTAAGATATCTATATTATCTTTCAAGAATATATTAATCAACAAAATATGTTCGTATAACTAATATTATAAAAAATAATTGATTTATTTTTCAAATAGTATATATTATAATAAAAGTACAAGGTTTATACGAACATGATAAATACATGTTTACAAAGAGAAAACACATAAAATCTCCCCGAACTTGGCAGGTCAACTTACTTTAGCACTTTAAATTTACATATAATTATTTACCCCCGTAATCTTATTTGAAGTGATTTTAATATCACCTTATGATTATAACACCAGTCTCACAGTGGCAAGTGCATCTCACACGCGCCATGTCATAGACAAATCATCGCCACGTCAATGCTACATTGATGCCACCTTGAATTTTTTTTTTTTTTAGTTCTTCCTTTGTTTCTTTTTATTTATCAATAATTCTAAAAAGGAAAAAAATTAGGAAAAATGAGGACTAATCTAGCATTAAAAATTAATTCAAGTTTATCACCATTAATATAAACACTGCCATAAATAGTGATGTTAAAGCAACAATTTTCAACACTAACAATCTTCTATTTTCAATTCTAAAAATTAGTGATCAATTTTGATTCAGATCTTGAAAAAAAGAAGACCCTCTTCTTGAAATCGAAATTGATATGAGTGAAAGATTAGAAGTAAATAAAAAGATGGTGTGTGTGTGTGTGTTGGGGGGGGGGGGTTTCGACGACAAAGGAGAAAGAGGGTGGGGTGGGGAGTTTGAAGAACAAGAAATGGGGTGGGAAGTTTCGAAGAAGAACAAAGGGTGTGTGTGTGTGTGTTTCGAATAAGAAGAATGAGGTGGTGCAATGGTGGCTGAAGGCGGCTGGGGGTGGTGGGGTGTGGGGAAAAAGAAAGGGTAGGATTGCTAGTAGCTAAGGGTTGGGTGGTGGGGTGTGAGGAAGATGAATAATGTAAAATAATTGGCTGAAAAGAAAAAAAGGGGACTCGCTTATATTTTTTCTCTTCAATTTTTTGCCAATACGTGCTTATATTTTTTTAATTTGCCTCGTCAGCGATTTGCATTTAAGTTCACTTGATATGAGATTAGAGGGGTAAAGAAATACTCGTGAAGGTACAGTGCTAAAGTAAGTTGTCTTTCCAAGTTTAGAGTTTTTTTATGTGCTTTCTCGTTTACAAAAAGATTAATACTATAAATATAACGTTATAAATTATGAAAATATTTGACAAGAAGATCAAGTCTAACTGAAAGTTAATGACCTGCAGCATGACATATCAAGTTAATACCACTAAAACAAAAATGGAATTGAAAATATAACCTAATATCTAAATCTGAAAAGAAACTTAATGTACTACTCTTATGTCAAATTTCAACATGATATACATGAATGTGATTTAAAAGAAAATAAAAACGTAAATCTATAACCTTATTTAACAATTCGTTTTCCTTCAATTTAAAAATTAGCATATTAACAAAATCCTGCTAATGAAAATAAATAAATATAGAATAAATAAATAAAAAATAGATAATACGAAAAATCTCATGGAATCACAGGTCGTAAAGGTTGAGAATGAAACTGAGAAGGAAATGAAATATAAATAATAATAATAATAAAAAATATATTTTTAGAATGATAAAAATAAAAAAGAATTTAAAATAATAGAACTAAAAATATTTTTTTTAAAAATCAGCTTGTAATTACACCATGTAATTACTAGCAATTCAGAGCCCTTCATTGGGAATTGGAGACTGTAATTACCCACTGTCAATTACACTCGATATCCTGCCGATCAAGTAATTACATGGCCAACCACACAGGACAGTGTAATTACACCCAATTATACCAAATCTAATTACGAGGGTAGGTTCCCAAACAGACCGTAAGAGCCTAGACGAAGTCCTTTCATCACTGCAAGGAGTGTATCATATTCAAAATATGATCTAACATGTTAACAGGAATCAAGCAACAACTGCAGAGATTTTGAAAACATCTCTATACAAAATATATGATAAGTCTATTCCATCAAAAATCAACTGTTGCTATCTATCAACACTGTCCATTTAATGCAAAGAATAATTTCATAAAAGTTAAAATCAACATGAAGGGGAATTTTTCTCCGATCTGGACTCTGCATCTTCTTTATTCCCTGACCCACCGGCTGCATAATGCTTGTTTTAATATTCCTGCCTATATTACTGCACCCCCAAACAAGTTCTGAGACATACACCAAAGAGGTCAGGGTTAGGTGCCAATGTTGAAGATGATTCACAGATTCTATTGGAGATTTATGTATAGCACCTATGCATAAACTGAATGCTCATTCTTTGTAGATTATCTTATGTAGGCACACAAGATTTGATCCTGTCTTCAGATTTGTCAGCAACTTTGTGACAAGATTTTACAGGAAACCTGCTTTAATTGGAAAAGAATCTGCCCAATCAGCTTGGCTACTACAATCTCCAACTTCTTCAAGAATAAATTAACTCTATCAATTTCTAATATAAAGTATTCCTTATGATTTTCAAAAGATTATAGATTTCTGTCACTATTCTGTCCATGATTGTAAAGATATGACACTTGAGCCTACCTGAGCCCCAAAAGCTAGCTTACAAGGCTAAGATTCCACAGGTCCTTCTTAGCAGACCAGCAATCCCAAAAGCTTGTTTAGAAGCGGAGGATTCCCTAGGTACATCTAAGCAGACCACCAGTCCATTTTCCAACCAATGCGGGACTCTCAATAATCCATAGACAAACTAAACAACATTCTAATTGCATCCTAAGCCTTTTCTGAGAAGACTTCGATGATATATTTTTTCTTCTGTACCTTTTTTCAATAGAAATCAAACAAGAGGTGACCTGATGAAAATCTTGTCGTGATGCCATTAGAGTTCTTATATTTCCTGTAAGCTAGGATATTGGTTTATGAAATATCTTATTACTTATTGTCTATCGTGCCTCAACTGCAGGATTTTGCAGGTAGAGATTGAAGAGTTGCAACATCAATTTGATTCAGATCTTGTTGATGATGTTAAACAACCCTTAGTGTATGCAAGGAACTTTCTGGAATTTTGCTCCTTCCAAGCTCTTCAAGTTGTAACCATCCGTCCTGATTATCTGAGCGATAAGGAATTCCGTCGGTTGATGTTCGACATGATGCTAGCATGGGAGGTCCCTGGTGTTGGAAATCAAGTACTCTAAACTACATGAGATATACTCTATTTCAAAATTGCTTTCTTTTCTAAATTACTCTTGCTATGCCATAGATTTGGCTGTCCATTTGAAAGTCTTAACTGTCTAACAATACCGTAATGGAGATGTCTTCACAGGAAACTACAGCCTCCGATAAGAGGGAAGTGGAGGATGAAGATAGCTGGTCATTGTTTTATTCGGATTCCACAGACATGGCTGTTCAGGTGGTAATTGATTTAACATTTTCCTTTATTTAGTACTCCCTATGTCTTAATAAATGTGATGCATTTTCCTTCTCAGTCTACCCCAAAGAGGATGATACTTTTCTATATTCATAAACAATTTTTACCTTTAACTTGCCATTTACCTTAATGAGATGGATTTTCAGCCAGACAAATATCTATGACTTGTTTTAGTCCACTAAGTCTTAAAAATCTTTCCATGTTTCTAAACTCCACATAGTGAAAGTGCGTCACATATAATGGAAAAAAGGGAGTAGGGATGACAATTTCAGCCCATATAAGTGAAATGAAACCATTTTGCCCATATTAAATTAAATGGATCAATCATATTTTCTTTTATTTTCTTAAATGGTTAATATGATCTTCAACCTATCTAAGCTTATACAAATATGGACAAAATGGGTTAACATGAGAATCCCTATTCAGCCCAGCCCATATTTAGCCCATATAAGTGAAAAATGAAACAAATTTTGTTTTTGTTTTTGGAAAACAAAAAAGTTTAGGAGTCGGTGGTGGAAGGGGTGTGTGTGTGGGGGGGGGGGGGAGGGGGGCGCCCGTGGAAGGGGGTAAATTTTTTTTTTATAAATGATTTTTTTTGTTTTTGACAAACGAAAATAACTTAGGGGTAGGTTGGTGGAATGGGTGGGGGTGGGGGGGAGCTCGGGGGAAGGGATAATTTTTTTTTTGAAAATATATTTATTTTTTTGTTTCTCGAAAACAAAAAATTTTTAGGAGTAGGTTGGTGGAAGGGTCGGGGGGTGGGGGTGTCTGTTGGGAGGGGTAAATCTTTTTTTTTTTGAAACTTTTTTATTTAAATGGGTTAGAAGCATTTTTTCCAAATCATATTTGACCAAATCCATATTTGCCCATATTATATTTGGATGGATTGTAATCCAACACATTTTTTCTCAATCCATACTCAACCCATCCAAATCCGATCCAACCATTTGCCACCCCTAAAATGGAGTATCTATTTTTGGAGTAAAATTTTGCAGATTACTACTTTTTAGATGTTGCGCGGACTCTTCATATTTGCCGGCTAACCCGTCTCGACACGACAATGGTGCGGGTGCGGATGCGGGGTGCGTGTCGGATTCGGTCAATCCGATCTGGACACTTTCACCAAAGCCGAGAAAAGATTTGGGAAAAAAGATCAGTTTCTAGCGACGTCTTTGGAGAGTAGGCGGAGCTATTTTTATGATGAAGCCTGAGAAAGTTAAGAAGAAATACAGATTCTTTTTCATCTTTCTTGAAGAAGTACAGAGTTTTTACTTTCTCAAGCTTCGTTATAAAAATACAGATAAGAAAGAAAATTTTCTTGAAAAAGTACAAGGAAATCTAGAGTTTTTTATCTTTCTTGAAGAAATAGAGTCTTTTTTTTATCTTTCTTGAAGAAATACAGTCTTCTAAATTTTTCTTGAAAAAATGTAGTCTTTTAAAATTTTCTTGTAAAAGAACTCCCAAAGATGAAGGGTTTCTTGAAATAAGTGTCATTTTTTATAAAATAAATTATATTTTTCAGATAATTTATTATATTTTCTCTCTTCCTTAACAAATATTTTTAGTGATACTTTATGCAATTGTTTAGTACTTAGTATGCATGGTATTATTCAATTATATATATATCCCACTCAGGGCCACTGGAGGCATTACAAACCGGCCGCGTCTCCAGGGCCCCGTGGAGCTAACCGTGGTGCACCCGCCTTGAAACAGCGGGACCCGATGGGTACAACTAGTCTGGTTCGCAAAGCGATACTCGGAAACCACGACAAAAAAAAGTATATAAATCCCTCTTACTATTATTGATATAATTATTTTTAGAGTTATGCTAAAAATAATAAGTTACTTTCAAATTTAGAATATCTTTATAACTATAGTTTTATAATACTGAAAATTTTAAGCCGTATCCCCCACACCCATATCCATACTCGGATTCGCACCTCCGAATCTTAATATTTGGATTTAGCCGAATTCGACTCTCGGATTCGCATCCGTCTCGGATACACGCACCCGAGTCCGAGCAACTTAGACCTCCACTATAGAAGGTACTATCCTCGTTGAAGGTCATAGAAATAAAAAGCCGTTTATAACTGAAGAAAGAAAAATATGTTGTTTGTTATGGTTGTATTGAATTGCCAAAAGACTTTCTCAGAAGGGGTATCATATGATATTGTCCGGAAACTTCTCAACTGGCTTTTATTTATCCATTTATTTCTCGTCTCTGCTCAGGTTGATGATAAAAAGACAGTTGGTGAAGAATCATTTTCACGAATTGCTCCTGCTTGTGCTATTGTTGCAGACATTATAACAGTTCACAATCTTTTCGATGTCCTAGCAAGTTCATCAGGTCACCGGCTCCATTTTCTTATATACGACAAGTACCTTCGGAGTCTTGAAAAGTATGCTTCATTATTTGAGCATTAATTGCTGGAATCCACTTTACCTTTTTGTTCTTTTGGTAGTTTACTTTCTCACAAAAGATTGAAATCAAGCTGGTTACAGATTTTTCGAGATTACAGTCTAACCTTCTTATAGAGGCAGGGTTTGTATGAAAATTTTATGGCTGCTATAGTGAGGTGACGTTATATATTATACTGACATTTGATGTTTTGATCTCATTTATCTGTTATAAACAAAATTACCCTAATTTTTTAAAATAATTTTGTGCCAAGAAGAAGAAATGCATTTGTTAACAAAAATATAGAAAGAGTATGAATGTAAAAAAGGAAAGACCAATAGTTTTCTCCTGAAGTAATGACCATCACTGCTGGGCACCATTTGAGTACAATTTTTTTCCCTTTTGGATATCTGTACTTGAAATTTACTATGTACATGACATTATTCATTAATGATGATTACGATAAATATTTTAATATTTATTTTATACATAATATACTTTTTACAAAGTAATGTTACACAATTGAATTACTGTTATAGAGGGGTAAACTTAGGAAGAGTGTACTGCTACTACAAATGCCACTGCTATTATAGGTATAATGCTGTCATAGAGAAGTAAAATATAGCATGAAAAATCGGTTTTGAAGAAAATCAGGCCCTTATTGTGAAATTTTGTTATAATGAAGGGATGTATAACGAGGTTTGACTGGTTGATAGAATGTCTCCTGATGCTCAAAAGATGGTAAAGCATTAGTTTGATCTAACTTGGAAAGCTGCTTAAAGATATTGTTTGATATGAAAATTTCATGCATAGTGATAGGCTGATAGCGTAGCTAGAAATCTCGGGTATGCCAATTTGCATTCTCTTCAGTGTTGCTTTTCAATCTTGATGATCTTTGGGATCAATGCCATGCTTGTCCTAGCTCCATTATTGCAACAATTCACACATCCCCCGAAGTTGTCGGATTTTTGGAAGACAATATTCCTGCACTAGTCCCACTTCTCCTTCTCCTGCAAAGTTTACCTGTACCTTTTTGAAGTTTGCTGTAGGACTTGATAAGGCAGATAAACATTGAGGAGTTAATCAGAGTTCGACTAACATAGTTTATCCTCCTTTGACCCACTTGTCTCAGCAATCTATCTCAATTTTGTTTTCTATGATCTATAACGACCTGTTTTGGCAACAAAAGTTAGATAGAAGGCGGAGAGTCTCTCACTCTAGCAAACTATTTTCTAATTTTTTATTCTGAATTTGGTCCAAATGTTACAGTTTTATTGGTTAAGGTATGGCTAGAATATACGAGAGAGGAATTCGTATGGTTATCAAATAGCTATCCTACTTATGAAATTAATTATCTTAACAAAAGTATCAGAGAAAATTTGTTGTGATTCTGACCTTATAATTTATATTATAAAATATATGATTTAAGTTTCTGTCAGGATCAAAAAATGAGATATTTGTCTCCCGTTGGGTGCTGTCTCTCCCACCCTCCCGTGTTAACAGAAGTGTCATGATAATTATGTTTTTGAGGAACTTTACATACATTGTTTGGATGCACTTGTTAACTTGCTTTTGATATGAAGTCTTGGTATATCTAGAGTAAATCTGGGGCTTGATGAATGATTACTAATAAGTTATTTCCTCATTCCTTTTTATACTGCAGGGTGATAAAGGTGGTCCAGAATTTCAGTGGACCTCAATTGGTGTCCAACCTTTCACTTGCAGAGGAAGAGATAGTGCTAGAGGTGGATGGTACAGTTCCCACACAACCAGTTTTGGAACATATTGGAATATCTGCATGGCCTGGTAAGCCATAGCCGTTTTTCTCAAAGGATGATTGTATATCTGATGCTTTGAACACTATAACTCTACTAAAATCATCTCTGATAGTTCATTTCTTTTGAAATATGAAACAAAAGATGCTTCTGAATTTTAATGACTTCCTCTGCTCTGAAAATTTAAAATTGCATATAAATGAAGGAATTTCTGATAACAATTGTTTTGCAAATGACAGTTTCTTGTTGTGGACGCATTTGTGGGCAAAACATATGTGCGACAGAGAGCCAAAGCCCAATAAATTAAGAATTTAATTATATTGTTAGTAGTTTTCTTACTATTGTAGAATAGGAAGAGTTTGATTGTGTTCTTAGTCTAGAATAAGATTTATGTTTCGTAGTTTCATGAGGCTACCTATTGCTGGAACAAGATTCCTATTTAAAGGAGGATTTAGAGGAATAAGAAGTACACAGATTTCCAACCAAAAACAAGAGGTAAGTGTACTCTCTTCCATTGAACTCTAAAGTTTCAGCTTTCCTTGATGAGCTAAATTCATATACAAAAATTGGTCGATCTAGGAATTCAAACAAAGGCAAGGGAAAAATCATAAAGGCAATTGATTTTGATTTTCCTGTTCATCGTCCTGTGACTGTGACGAACAGTACTCGTCCACTCACAAGTGCAAACGACTTCTCTAACTGGAATCAGATGATTCAGTTGACGATGGATTACGAAAGTGCTAGATGACTGCCCGGAAATTTCTTTACATGCAATTACTGGTCAAAGGCATGCACAGACTGTGCGATTCCCTGCTCTCATTACTGGACATCACATGCTTTGTCTTATTGATTCTAGAAGTACCCACAATTTGACAAGTTCTATAACTGCTACTTGATTACTCCTTGATATTTTCTCCTTGCACAAAAACAGAATCTCCATTGCTAATGGCGAGAAGGTTCCATGCTTTGGGATCTACAAAAGGGTAACAATTTCTATTGGTGAACATAGCTTTTTGTAGGCCTTTACATTATTCCATAGGGTGGATTTGATATTGTTTTGGGAGTTAAGTGGATATAGTCCTTGGGTCCTATACTTTGGGATTTTGTGGCACTTACTATGGGTTTTTTGGCGGAAGGGAAATCAATGTTGTTTAAGGGATGGTATTGTTGGAAGGTGTTAGGCATGCATTGGAAGTCATTAATTTAAGTATTTAATTATTTATTTAGTAACTATTTATTATTCTAGAATAGGGTTTATATTTCATAGTTTTATAAGGATTAGTTTTAAGTTATAGTTATTAGAGCCCGTTTGGATGGGCTTAATAAAAGGTAAAAATGTGGTCGACTTAAAACAGCTTATAAGCTGGAAAAAAAGCACCCCTACCCCAGTTTTTAACTTTTAGCTTAAAATAATTTTTTTTTAACTTAAAATAAGTTATTTTGAGTATTGCCAAACAACTAAATAAGTCAAAAACCAGCTTTTAAGTCAGTTTGACCAGCTTTTAAGCTGAGCCAAACAGGCTCTTAGTTTGGAATAGGATTTAGGTTTCCTACTTACATAAGAATTATATTTTCTATTGATGTAATAAGACTCCTATTTAAAGGGGCTTTTGATGAATAAATCAGTAAGTCATAATTCAACAAAAATCAAGAGATAAAAGTTCTCCTTCTAATGAATTCTAAGGTTTCAGTCTCCCTTTAATGAGTTGATTTATATATCGCCCTGTGAATCGATCCTTCCCTAAAGATTCATAACGATTTGGAATCAACACAATTAGAACCCATGAGGAATTGATTGAATAACTAATCAATTTTGGGTAATTGAACTTGGAGAATTTAGGAAATCTTGGGGCTCAGTGGGTAAATGGAGCCATTGATGAAACCCTACATACGTCGAGGATCAAAGCCCAAAAGCAAAGGATCAAGAAAACCTTGAAGACAAAACCCTAGAAATCCCTTGAGAGCTTGGAGAGAAAACATTGCAATTTTTGGGGATTTTGGGGATGAAAGGGAACGGGTAGTTTTCTAGGAGTAAAATCAGTTATAGGGTCTATCTATGTATTAAAGCTACGTAGTATAGATATTAGATGCATAGGATAAGTCCCAAATACCTTTAATAAATGTTGTTCAACTTTGGCATGAGTTACTGCGGCCTAAAATAGGCCAACTTCCTATGACACCATTCTACGTACCTTCTCAATAACTCATGGTCCATAGACCTCAACTTTTAACCGATAATTTCACTAAGTTTGAATCACTTCTGTGGGTGCTTCCTATAATCCGTAGAACGTTCAATGATCCGTTAATCCTTCTCGTAGACTAAAGTCTCGTATTAATTTTTTTGAATCCTCATGCAAATCAATCCTACGACTCATCAAACTTTATATGACACTTCGTGTCAAGCGGTAGGTCCAACATTAGGAACTTTAAATTCCAAAAACTCACACCCCAGGTCTACGACTAACTTCCCACGACTTGTAGGACTTCCTACAATTTGTAGATGATACTAGTAGGCCACTGCATCAAACAAATTTATGCACTTCTCTTTTCTTTTCTGAACTTTCCAACTTCCAAGATGTTATAAAAGGGTACAATGAAGGTTAGTATTATGAGTGAACTATATACCTTTTTGAAATGCAATATGTTGATTAAGAGGAATAAGTTCGCAGTTGATGTTGCATCTGGTGCAAGACATGAATTTTCTAGGCATGATGTCGAATGTGGACAACAACAAAATAACATACCTCATGAAATCCCACTAGGTGGGGTCCGGGAAAGGCAGAGTGTATGCAAACGTTGTTGCTACCTCGTTGAGGTAGAGAGACTATTTTGAAAGACCCTCATCTCAAGTGCATTAAACCCAATAAAGAAAGGAGAAAACAATGAAGTAAACATAGCAAGGAAAGTAGTGCAAAGTCTACAACAAAATAGTGTGATAATTGAAACACAATATAACAACATATGACCACACATATAAAGGTAAGACTAGCCAATGTTGTGAAAGCTGATCGCCTCATCGCTAATGGTGAGAGGCAAGGCAACCCTTCATCGTCTTTTAGCTTTCAAGCAACATTTTTCAAAAGGCGACGCCATGATGATAATGGTGGCGAGAAAGGCGTCGCTTTTCTTATAAAAGGCGATCGATTTAGGGTTTTAAAAGTCAAAAGGTAATTTTAGGTTTTCTTTTCAAATTTGCACGATTGCACTCTTAGACTGTGACTGCTACTCCAACCACTTGAGTAGACTTCTCGAGGACTAGCTAGACTAATTAGGCAACTCCAAAACCAACCAATTCACATTTCTTCTTTTCTTCTTGACATTTCTTCTTCCTCTATTTCTTATGTTCTGTTCTTTTCTCATTCTAGTTCTAGACTTATAATATTTACGGTATATTTTTCGGTTTATGTATTGGATATTTGCTAATATGTTATTGCTATTGAGATTTTTCTTATTTTTATATATGCAATTAAATATTTTAATTTTTTGGTATTAATTGGAGCCGCACTTTTGAAAGGCGAGCGCCTCGCCTCTCGCTCACTTTGTTGCAAGGCAGGCCCTTGTCGCCTTTTGTCACCTTTCGCCGTCCAAAACACCGCGACTGGTACTAGGACTTGCACTAACAAGCCTAAACCTTCGCAAAGCAAGACACCAATCTATCCTCCTAGCCTTTTACCCTAATACGCGACCTCCACTCCTTTCTATCTAGAGTCATGTCCATTTTAATAAGAAGTTGCATCACCTCATGCCTAATAGCCTCTTCCCTATACTTTTTTGGCCTACTTCTACCCCTCCACATAAGTCCGACATCCATTCTCCCACACCTTACTGGGGCGTTCGCGCACCTCCTCTTCACATGCCCAAACCATCTCAGCTTCGCTTCTATCATCTTGACCACCACAACGGCCACTCCCACCTTCTCCGGAATACCTCATTCCTTATCTTCTCGTTCCTAGTATGCCGCGGATGCTTCTCCGCAACATGTATCTTTAGGACATGTGAGTTCTTGACTGTCTAATACTCCACCCTATACTACTAGGACGGACTAATCACCATTCTATAGAACTTAGTTTTAAGTTTAGGTGGTACCTTCCTATCACAAAACACACACACAAGAGGCCCGAGGCAAGCCCCCATTCCATCCCTGCCTCTTATATGTGATGTGTGACATCATTGATGATGTCCCTACTATCCTAGATTACACGGACTCAAGATACTTAAAACTATCTTTTTTTGGAAAAATCTGTGGCATGCCTCACTTCCAAGTTTGTTCCAGAAAAGTTGTTTTTTCAAAATAAGAAAAGCGACCACTTAGTTGCTATCTCGCTTCACGCTTTAGGGATAGATACTACCGCTTCATTCACTTTGCATTGCTCAACGCTCGCCTTGCTTCGCTTCATCGCCTAAACTGGTATTTTCACAATACGGGCTTAAGCTGCTAGATCCTTATTATTTACTTAATTTTTTCTTCAACTTATCCATTCACATGAGGGTTTGATTCTTTTTCATACAGCAATCATGTGAAAATTCTTTTTTGATAATAGTCAGCGGTGAGGCTGGATAGATGGACCTTAGTGTGTAACCATTTCATCTAAAAACTTATTTTGTATTAGTTGCTAAGATGCTTTATTCTTCCTATTTCATTTTCATTCAGGAAGGTTGACATTAACTAACCATGCTCTCTACTTCGAGTCTGGGATGGGCTTATACGACAAGGCAGTGCGGTATGATCTAGCATCCGACTTGAAACAGATCATTAAGCCTGAGCTTACTGGACCTTTAGGTGCTCGCCTTTTTGATAAAGCTGTTATGTACAAGTCCTCATCTATGTAAGCTTAATGTTTTCAGTTGAAGCTATATACTTAAATTCACCAGGAACTTCTAACTTTAAGTTAGTACAGGATGGATCCTGCATATTTTGAATTTCCAGAATTTAAAGGAAGTTCAAGACGGGATTATTGGTTAGATATTTGTCTCGAGATTTTCCATGCTCACAACTTTGCTCGGAAGTATAAACTCAAAGAGGATCAGCAGTCCGAAGCACTTGCTAGGGCTGTTCTTGGAATTTACAGATACAAGGCAGTCAGAGAGGCTTTTAAGGTATCTTCTTCCAATTACAAAACCGTACTATGTTTTAACTTAGCAGAAAGTCTTCCTAGAGGAGATGCGATCTTGGAAACTTTATCAAGCCGCTTGAAACTCATGAACTCTGCCGGCAATCGACGTAGATTATTGGGTTCTCCTAGTGCAAGGAGACAGGTGATACACCCAGTATCACGGGTGTCACTTTGTAGACTTGGAATCATCTCATGCAAGGACGTCGATATAATTGGAGAAGCAACAATGTTAGTAGGAGATGTCTTTGTTGGTGAGGTAAATCCTCTGGAAAATGCGGTCAAGCAGTCAATGAAAAACATTGGAAGAGCTGAAGCTGCACAGGCGACAGTTGACCAAGTCAAAGTTGAAGGAATTGATACTAATGTAGTGGTAATGAAGGTATAAATAAAACCCTTAACCTTTTTCTTTTTTTTTTGCTTAATGTATCATTCCTCTGTTCAGGAGATTGCTGCTGCTTGTTCTCTTATTGATAGTTGATCCTGCTAAGTACACTTCTGCATACAGGAAGACTGTTTTATGTAGTGAGTTACTTCAGCTCATCCTATGTTTAAAAGCTGTGCAAAGTTGGAATACTGCACTCTTTTTTCCTAGGGAACTAAGAAGGTAGCATGATTGTTCTTCAGCCGTTCGTATGTCTTCTGTACATCTTTTATTTTAGAGTAGTAAGTAGTTAGCTGCTCCACTTATTTGTGGCTCCCTTTGTTGCATTTGCTTATTATTCTTAAATTAGAACTAAGGAGTTCCTGCACCCTACCTTTGAAAGTATCACATCATAAATGGGGTATTTTGTATCTTTGCTTCTTACTGTAAAATGTGAATTTTGAGATGAGTAGTACTACATGATCTTTCTTCATTCCTCAGGATGACATAATGTTTGAGTTGTGATATGTTGTTGCCGCTTACTGCTTAGAAGCTTATTTAGTTGCTTCATTCCTCAAGATTACACTTATTTTTTTCCCGCAGGAGCTGCTTTTTCCTCTCATCAAACCAATGAACCAACTTCAACTATTAGCTTCATGGAAAGATCCGTGGAAGTCGATTTTATTTATGGTGTTTGTAAGCTATGCTATAATCAGGTATCGAATACTTAATTCTTCCCTTGCTTTTTTGTTAGACAGAAATCAAATCCAAGATGTCGTAGGATTATACAAATATTTTCTTGGCAATATTTCAATAACAACTCTCTGTCCCTTGAAATTCTAGTTCTATAGTATTTACAACATGAACTTCAAATTCTACTATCTTTAACTAAATTGAGTCTAGTACATCAATTAAGGATATAGTATCATTTGAGTATATTTGATTACACCAAAAACATAGTAGCATAAGACAATTTAGTTTGACTTTTTGCATACTATTCTCAACACTATCGAAAGCTCTAGAGTTCCTTTCCTTCCATATTGCCCAATATATGCTAGCTGGGACAATTCTTCATCTGTCTCTATTCTTGGATTGCTTTCCTGCTTCCTCCCAACTCTGAATTGTTTCTGTGAACTTCTTGGCAGGCATGGTCCATGACATACCCTTAAGGCTCAGGAATAACCTCTATAGTTGACTTATCATCTTGCAGTGTAGAAAGAGATGGTTAACTGTCTCAGCAATTTCCCCACAAAAGAAACATCTAGAACATATTCGTATCCCCTTTTCTTTAAGTTGTCTTGAGTCAGTACAACCTCCTTGGCTAACAACCAAACAAAAAGAGCCAGTTTGAGTGGAATTTTTGACTTCCAGATTCCTCTTCATGACCAGTGACTTTGAGGCTGATTGGTGTGGTTCAACCAGTTGTATGCACAACCCACCTTAAAGCTGCCCTTTCGATTGCCTTTCCACCACAAAATGTCTTGACCTCCTTCCAGTCCATTAAACTGCCCAATGGTGTTGAAAAAATCTGCTACCCTTTGAATCTCCCAATCATTTAATTGTCTTCTAAAGATGAAGTTCCACCCTTGAGGAGTCTAGTGATCTACTATAGTTTTCTGTTGGTGAGATACCAGAGAGTTATCACGATACAAGGCCTCTAGCCTACCTGGCTCATGCCGCGCATCTTTCCAAAATTCTGTTCTCTCCATTCCTCAGTTTGATCTGTGTGTTAGCCTTAAACTTGGACTACAGAGATCCAATGGATCTCCATACACTAACCCCATATGCTGTAGTCACTTCTTTGGTCATCCAGTTATCTTCCTCTTCACATTTAGCTTTAATGACTTTCTTCCAGTAGGTATGCTCTCCATTGTTGAACTTCAATAACCATTTCATCATAAGGGCTTTGCTTTGATTCAGCAAATTCCTTATTCCGAGGCATCCATGCTTCTTTCCCACTATCACAGCATCCCATTTAACCAAGTTGTAGCCTTTCCTCTCACTGTTTCCTTGCCAAAGAAATTTTCATCTGGTTTTATCCAACCTAGTGATTACACTTTTGGGAATTGGAAATACTGCATCATATAGGTTGGTAGTGAATCAAGAACAAAATTAATCAAGGTCAACCTGCCACTACGGAGAGATATTTTAATTTCCATGTTGCTAACTTCATTTCACATTTCTCAACCACATTGTTCCAGATTTCATATGACTGAGATTTGGCCCCCAAAGGCATCCCAAGATATGATGTAGGCAGTGCTCCAATTTCCCCTTCCAGAACCGCATTTAATGCTTCCATGTTGTGTACTTCATTAATTGGAAAGAGGTGGCTTTTCCTCCAATTAATGTGTAGACCAGTGGGGAGTCCATTGCATCAAGAGTATAGAGATTGATTGGGCCCAAGGACCCTTTTAGCAAACCAGGAATATAGTTAACAAAGAGGAATCTAAGTTGCTCCTTTCTTCAGGCTTGGCGAGGGGGAGGGGCGTACGGACCACTCCATTCGAAGTCTCACAAATGTTGCACCCCGGCAGCAAAGCGAACCACTGGAACTAAAGTCACGATTGCAGGCCTTCGGAGCCGGTGATCTGTTCGGCCTAAGACCCTCTCTCTCCTTCAAACAACACTAGGATCACCCTTAACATCTTTAGTTGGCCTTCATCAGCATCACATAATATCAATGTGTCATCCGCGTATTGTAGATGGGTAATTTCCACATTATCAACTTTCGGTCTGCTGACTTCAAAACCTCTAAGCCATCCCCTCACTTTAGTTGATTTGATCATATTATTCATTCCTTCCATAGCAAGTAGGAAAAGGAAAGGAGGGAAAAGGAAAGGAGACAAAGGGTCTCCCTGCCTTAGTCCCCTCTCTGCACCAGTGTTACGAAAGGCGCTCGCCTCCTCGCCAAAGGCGAGAGGCGAGGCGAGGCGAAGTTTCATCGCCATTCTCAGGCGAGGCGAGGCGATGATAAAAAGGCGAGATGTGGCGAGCTGTGGCGCTGAAAAGGCGAGAGAAAAGGCGCCGCCTTTTTAATTAAAAAATTTTGACTTAATAATATTAGTCAAAATTAGGTTTTTTTTTTTACTTTTGAAATTTTTCTAAAATCCACATCGCGACTCTCTCTCGATCGATCGATTGACTCTTCTCCCTCGCTGTCGCAAGCTTCTCCTTCTCCCTCACTCCCCTTGCAGCCTCGCTGTCGCCTTCAGCTTCTCCTTCTCCCTCGCTCTCCCTCGCAGCCTCGCTGTCGCCTTCAGCTTCTCCTTCTCCCTCGCTCTCCCTCGCAGCCTCGCTGTCGCCTTCAGCTTCTCCTTCTCCCTCGCCGACGACCCTCGTGAGTCGCGACTCTAGTTCCCTCCGACGTCCGACCCTCCGACTCTCATTCTCTGTTTTCAGGTAATGTTTTCTGATTTCTGTTCTTCTTCTTCATTTTTTTTTCAGTTACTGTTTTTTTGTTTACACTTTATAGCAGTCAGGCACTAAGTGCTTACTGCTTTGTGTATATGTAAAGTGTAAATTTTTTTAAAAAAATTCTTTTCCTAATTATTTATTCCAATATTTCTAACAGCGAATTAATTGAATTTAATAATCAATGGCGGATGCTACCAAAAAGAGGGACATTGGATGGAATTATGGCACACAAGGAGCGACGAAAGATTCGGTCAATTGTTACTTTTGTGGGATTACTTTCAATGGTGGAATAACTCGACACAAACAACATTTAGTGGGTGGTTTCAAAAATGTTAAACAATGTGTCGCTTGTCCGTCGGAAATTAGAGAAGAAATAAGGGCTTATATGCAAAACAAAATAGCTAATAATCCCAAATTTCAAATGAGGCAACCGGAAGAATTTGTTGATATTGATGATCTTGATGAAATGGATGATTATGCGGAAATGAGGCCTCCCTCCAAAACTCAAAAGATATCTTCTAGTGGAGGTTCATCCACCGCACGGAGTGTGACGAAAGGACCTTTGAACCTCTATTTTTCACAAAAATCAACACAAAAAGGAGGCTTAGAAAAAGGAGGAGGAATCGAAGAAACAAAGAAAATTCTAAGAGAGCGTGCAGTAAGTGCTTTTGCAATTTGGATGTATGATGCCGGGCTCCCTTTTAATTGCGTCAATCACAAATCATTCGATAAATTTATTGAGGCGGTTGGACAACATGGCCGCGGAATGAAGCCTCCTACATTCCATGAAGTTAGAGTCACTCACCTTAAAAAAGAGGTGGATAAAGTAGAAAAAATTGTTGATGAGCATAAAGTGCAATGGACAAAGTTTGGTTGTTCCATTATGATGGACAAATGGACGGCACGAAATGGCAAAATGATCATCAATATTTTGGTGAATTCTCCAATCGGTAGTGTATTTCTTGGTTCGGTTGATGCTAGCAATGAATCTACCGATTCCACCAAAATGTACAAGTTATTTGAAAGCACTATCGAAAGAATTGGACCGGAAAATGTGGTACAAATTGTCACCGATAATGCTAGTGAGAATGTCAAAGCGGGAAGTATGATGATGGGTG